CATATGCTATCTGATCCATACGCTATCTGATCTATACGCTATCTGATCCATACGCTATCCAATCCTTACGCTATCTGATCCATACGCTATCCGTTCCATACGCTATCTGATCCATACGCTATCTGATCCATATATATCCGATCCATACGCTATAAAATGGCTGAGGTCCCCATTAACTTGTTATGAAATGAAATATTCCGTCTGTTTAAGGTACCATACGGGAATATAGATGTATCAGAACATCATTTAACAGTTTGGAATAATAAACAGATTAAATGGTTAGATCTCTCTCCAAACTATACAGGTCTGCATATATATTTAATATTTTATTGTTCAAAACCCTTATATTCATACTTGTAATGTGTTTAGAACCCTTCTATCCTTGATTGTAATGTGTTTGGAACCCTTCTATCCTTGATTATAATGTGTTCAGGACTCTTCTATCCTTGTTTGTAATGTGATGATACCCTTCTATCCTTGATTGTAATGTGTTCAGAACCCTTATATCCTTGATTTTAATGTGTTCAGGACCTTTCTATCCTTGCTTATAATTTGTTCAGAACCCTTCTATCCTTGATTGAAATGTGTTCAGAACCCTTATATCCTTGATTGTAATTTGTTCAGGATCCTTTTACCCTTGATTGTAATGTGTTCAGGATCCTTTTACCCTTGATTGTAATGTCTTAAGAACCCTTCTATCCTTGATTGTAATTTGTTCAGAACCCTTCTATTCTTGATTGTAATTTGTTCAGGACCCTTCATCCTTGATTTTAATGTGTTCAGGACCCTTCTCTCCATGATTGAAATGTGTTCAGAACCCTTCTATCCTTGATTGTACTGTGTTCAGAACCCTTCTATCCTTGATTGCAATGTGTTCAGAACCCTTCTATCCTTGATTGTAATGTGTTCAGGATCCTTCTATCCTTGATTGTATTGTGTTCAGGACCCTTCTATCATTGATCGTATTGTGTTTAGAACCCTTCTATCCTTGATTGTAATGTGTTCAGGATCCTTCTATCCTTGATTGTATTGTGTTCAGAACCCTTCTATCCTTGATTGTAATGTGTTCAGGATTTACTATCCTTGATTGTATTGTGTTCAGGATCCTTCTATCCTTGATTGTATTGTGTTCAGGATCCTTCTATCCTTGATTGTAATGTGTTCAGGACCCTTCTATCCTTGATCGTATTGTGTTTAGAACCCTTCTATCCTTGATTGTATTGTGTTCAGGATCCTTCTATCCTTGATTGTATTGTGTTCAGGACCCTTCTATCCTTGATTGTATTGTGTTTAGGATCCTTCTATCCTTGATTGTATTGTGTTCAGGATCCTTCTATCCTTGATTGTATTGTGTTCAGGACCCTTCTATCCTTGATTGTGTTGTGTTCAGAATCCTTATATCCTTGATTGTATTGTGTTCAGGATCCTTCTATCCTTGATCGTATTGTGTTTAGAACCCTTCTATCCTTGATTGTATTGTGTTCAGGATCCTTCTATCCTTGATTGTATTGTGTTCAGAACCCTTCTAACCTTGATTGTATTGTGTTCAGGTGACCTGACGAACTCTACCTATGAGAAGTTGAAGCCTAAGATGCTGGTTGACCAGACTATGTGCTACGAGAACTATCCTTGTCTAAACTATGAGATCAGCTCGGAGGATCAGGTATTAATTAATCTTTCCTTGTGATAATTATATTGTTTAAACTTGAAATCTTCATCTAATAAATATTTGATTTGATATGATTTGATTAAAGGAATTGTAGATCAATTTCAAGCGAATCTCCATTTAAAGAAATACATGCATGATTCACAACGGTACACTTTAATCTCTTCACAATGAAGAGAATAGGGTATTTTTTTCGCTTTTGTGAAGTTGATAGTACTGTAAATTACTTTTTATGTCTATGCTGCATTAATCCGCATTTAACTTTTCTAGAAAAACCACTGTCGTGTCACTTGAAAACACACTGATCAGTCTTATTATCTAATTGGAAATTGTTTGGTTTTCGATTTTCCTGTTCATGTAAAAATCTCTCTTATAGATTTATTTCTAACTTATTTTAAACATTTAAACGTTAAAAGAAAAGCAAGAAGAATGAGGGTTGGATTGAAATTTCTCTATGGCATTTTTTTACTTTCATATTTACCGGAGATATGAATGATTTCGTTCAGTATCAGACATTTTCATGGTTTTATTTAATGTTGAAATTTAAACATAATTATTAAAATCTCTTTTATTTTTGTGAGCAAAAAAATGGCAGACCACATTTTGGAAAGCGCAGGATTAGGAATATTAGTGATTATTGTAATTAATAAAAATATATTGGTAAAATTAGAAACTTATCTATGTTAAATGCCGCAAACTATTTTTAAGGTCAAAGGCGACTTTGAAGTTATCTATCAATTATCAATCTACATTATTCCGCGTTATTTAGAGTTTCACTGCAATTTAATTACTTTTTAACGCTTTGAATTGAGAGATATAAAGATTCCATAGAAGCAAATATATTATTTTACCTGTACTCCCGGTAGGCCGGTGTGCTGCCCTACCTGAACCTGGAGGAGTGGGTGGAGGGTGTGGAGTGTAGAGAGCCGGTCAATCTCAAGCGGAATTCGTTCCTTCTTCATACTCAAAACATAAACACTATTAAAAGTATTAAGGTAAATTCAGTTTTGGTTCCCCCCAAATATAATCTATATATAAATTTGGCTCGTCTGTCTTGGTGTCTGTTTGTTTGTATCCAATAAACGTCAAAACGGCTGAACCGATCGGGCCCAAATTTTTTGTGGGACCTCACGGAGTCCCAGGGAAGGTTTATGAATGATCAAAATTTCAAATATTTGCCTCCATCAAAATTCGATCTTCATTAAATTTTTGAAAATTTTGAAAATCCACGAAATTTTTTGTGAAAATCTGCAAACTATTTTTGTTCTGTTTTACGATGTACACAAAGAGAACATGTTCACAATTAATTTAGAAGATGGGCGCGAAGCGCCCTATAAGGCTAGTTATAATATACAGCGAGTAATAATTTATTTTTGAATGGGAATGTTAGCGTCTTTTTATTATTATAAGAGTTGGTAACTGCAACCGACTTAAAATAGAAGTTTTTTTTTCGGTAATGTCAATTTTTACAAGAGAATCGCTTTTAAGGGGTTATAGTAGGAATAATGCTTCTTTTTTTACAAAGGGATCTTCAGGTTTGCTCAAAAATGATGAGACTGTGAAGTCGACTTGAAATTCCTAATGGAGATTTCAAGGTCTTCTTCCTTTATTATATGCTATCATTAGTTATTCTATCATCACTTCAGAGGTTTATTTTTTAGTGAAACTTTTTTTCTTTCTAACAGCTATACAGCGCACTGATTTAAGAAAAATATCGTCTAGCTATTCCGAATTCTGTTGGGGCCCACTGTAGTAGTTTGTGATTCTTAATATTTCATTCTGCGGTGGATTTTAAAAAGCTGAAGAAAACAGGATATTATTCTTCATTACAGTTTGTCATGTTACCCTGGATATACATCGTCTCGTAGGCAGAGAAGGTTTGGGATCTGTTTCCGCTAATTCTCTTTACCCCTAAGAGAAGTGTTTAAATGGTATTTGTTTAGGTGATAAAGCAGAATATTATGGTTCTCACTCAAAACAACCAACTCTTCTCCATTAATACTCAGTTTAAAACAGTCACACATATTTCCAGGTCAAAATTTCTTTTCTTGTAATTGATGCCTATTCATCTTAGTCTAAACGCAGCAAGTTACATTTGTTTTCATAAATGTTTATTTTTACTGAAAAGCCCGTTGCAAGCTATCATTTAACACTTCTTTACTTTGGAATGAGAAAAAACAAACCTAAAGGGAAAAATACACACAACGATATATTGAAGAACTTGCACTTTTTCTATCCTAAATTTCACAAAGGAAACTTATTCTTTAACATAAAAGTTTTTAAAGTTTTAAAATTCATTTTCTGATATTATCTGAAAGTCACTAAAAATTGGAACTTCATATTTTCTCCTTTTTTATTAAGAATCTTCTTTTAGAAAATAAAATAATATTTTTAGATGTTCCGATAATCCCTGCTACGTTGTAGATAATGGTTCTGTGATGTGCTCAGGCTAAAATATGGAATTGTATAAAACTAAAACAGGCCCTTTTTCATTGCAGTTCAGTTTATGCCATACTTTACATTAGGCTAATCCTCCCTGTTTCCTGTATTGCCAACCTTCTTTCCTGTTTCCTGAACAGTCTAGCATCCTTCCTGATTCCTGTAAAGTTGACCTTTGTACCCGCGCATTTTCTGTCTTGTCTTCCTATTCTAGTGTACCCTCGGTCCTTTTTTTTGAAAAGTGTACCCTTCTCCCTACTCCAGTTTCCTTAACAGTCTACAATCATTCCTGTTTCCTGAACAGTCAGCGCTTCTTTATGTTTCCTGAAGAATCTAACCTTCCTGTTTCCTGAATAGTCTTTTTATTTTTGCTGTTTCCTAAACAGTTTACCTTCCTTCTTATTCACTGAAAAGTCTTCCATCCTCCTTCCTGTGCTCTCCTTCCTTCCTTTCTAACCCTATGTGGTAATATGTAATATACAGTATGTCTCTCGAAACATGAAAATTTAAGTATGATTTCATTTAGTTTTCTAGTTGGAAATACAGTAATTAAGATTTCTTTTCAAGAATATTTCTTATTAAAGGGACTGTAAAAGGAATAATTAAAGGGTGTATAGGCTGAAACCTAAGCTATTTAGCTATTAACACCCTCTTTCATTTTTCCTTTCCAGCCCCTCTAATGTTCAAAAGTTTGCTTTAACTGTCGATAAACAGGGATCCATTAAATATCAAAATCAAATTTGATCACTTCTTGAATTTCTTGTCTACTGCAGTATACACTATACATTTAACTTTCTTTAATTTTGGAAAGTTTTCCTCCCGACATCTTTCTTACAGATAAAGGAAATTGAAATCCTCTAAAAACAGTTTGAAGCTAATATTTCTAAATCCTCTCCACCTTCTTTCCTCAGTTTTCTCAATTTAGATTTTTCTAGAATTCCAGGGAGATATTTATTGAAAACCCCCTGGGCAAATATGGTAAACAGTCCCCAGGGACCAATACATATATTTACATAAATTTACATTTATGAAAAGAGTCAGAATGTGGTAAAATACAGAAAGGCGTAAACTGTTTTACAAATTTGTAATGCAACTCTAACGTCAGCTTGTGTCACGTGATTGACAGCTGCAAGATATTCGGCTCGACTTTAGGAGTTAGGCCCAAAGAAAATAAAACCGACCTTGGTTGGTTTTAGTGGAGAATAAGGCTTAATTTTGCGTCTTGTTCTCATAAAAACTGGGAATGCGACAATTCCTACCATGAAAATCCTCCAAATAAAATATTAAATCGGTTTTTTTAAAACTCGATTCTGTGAAAAATGAGATGCAACTTGAATCCGAAAGCTCAAGCTTTAAATAACGCCAAAGGACAGCTTAGACCCGACCCGTATTTTCCAATATTATTTAAACTCGGTCTCTGGTGATATATTGAAATATTTTTTAAAGACACTCCCTGTACAAGGACACCTTGTATATTATAAAGGTGTATGTACTAGATATATTTTGCACACTTGAGAGATGTTTTCTTCTTCTAATCCTTGATTTCGACTTTGATGACTTTGCATTTACTTTCATTCATCAGACCTTGACTACATCCAAGTTAGATATGCATCAGGAATCTCCAAGTTATTAAGAGCAATGCACTATCAGTTCACATTGCTCTAAATTTGAATTGTTTTAATTCTTTAGACTCTAACTAAGCTTTAAGATTTCAACCTAACTAATTCCAACCTTAATTAAACAGGCCTTGAACTTTATGCTTCTTACTGAATTTAATGACTCAGTCCATCCTCCTTAAATATCCATATATTGACTCCGTAAATCCTCCTTAAATATCCATATATTGACTCCGTAAATCCTCCTTGAATATCCGTATAGTGACTCCGTCATGCATCAAAGGAATATCCGTAAATTGACTCCGTCCAACCTCCTTAAGTATCCCTAGATTGACTCTGTATATCCCCCTTGAGTATCATTATATGTACTCCGTCCAACCTCCTTGAGTTTTCCTTATGTTGACTCCGTCCATCCTCCCTGAGTTTCCATATATTGACTCCATCCATCCTCCTTAAGTTTCCTTATATTGACTCCGTCCATCCTACTTGAGTATCTTCCTATAAACTCCGTCCATCCTCGCTGAGTATCCGTAAAATGAATCCGTCCATCCTCCTCGAGTATCCGTAAAATGAATCCGTCCATCCTCCCTGAGTATCTGTAAAATGACTCCGTCCATCCTCCTTGAGTATCCTCCGTAAGTTGACTCCGTCCATCCTCTTTGAGTATCCTTATACTGACTCCGTCAATCCTCTCTGTGTTTCCGTAAGTTGACTCCGTCCATTATCTATTTAGAATTGGCCTCTTACCCTGATGAAGGAAAAGACGGAAATCAAGAAGGCAATAACATGTTTTAATTGAATGGTAGAAAATAAAAATCTTTTTTCTGAAAGTTTCGTTCTCAAAAAATCTGCAGTTTTTTTCTTTGCATCCTTATAAGGAATACAAATTATAAATGTTAGGACTCAGTTATCATAGTTCACAATCCATTATCCATATTCATGATTTCTTCAGTTTCTCACAGAGTTCTAAATATATTCTACAACACAGCGCACAACCATGATAGAATATGCAGGTATTACTAACTAAGGTCAAAACTTAAGAGATAGCGCTAATCTACAGCGCTTGATCTCAACAACTTTTCAATCAGATGATAAGTGATTGATATCTCAAATTTAATCGGAGGAATTAATTCAATCCATAAGGATAACTGTTTAATCCCAGGATAAACAAAACAAAGTTTTGGACTCATTCATTCATTTATTAATTTTTAGATTTTACTGTTGGGTTAGTTTTAATTTATTATTGAATTCTTTGGAAACCCTTTCATGGTTATGAAAACTGAGTTTTGGATCTAATTGTAACTTAAGACAAATGAAATTGATATAACATAAATGCACATTGCACAAAACCTTGTCTTTACTGAAAGGGGGGGGGGGGGCAACGATGGTTTCAACCCTCCATTAGATATGTGTGAATTCGTATAAAATGCCTTTTTTTCGACTACGAAATGTGCATCCTTCAGAAGGTGGGTGGTGAGGATTGTAAAGGTCGGAGAGTGTTATGAATGCCAGAAACAAGCTAAAACAATTTATTTAATGAGAATCGATACCCATATTACTACCGTCCGTTTTTGGATAGACCCCACCCCCACCCTTGACGCTGATTCTGAATGGCAACTACCCTTACTATCACAACTACCGTCTGTTTTAGAGAGACCCCACCCCCACCGTTGAAGCTGAATCTGAATGGCAACTACCCTTACTACCTCAACTGCTGTCTGTTTGAAGCTGAATCTGTATGGGAACTACCCTCACTACCCCAACTACCTTCAGTTTTTAAAGAGACCTCATCCCCACTCTGTGTTATTCTGTGCGCAAGGTATACAATATGCAGCTGGTATCGATTCTCATTAAATCAATTGTTTTAAGCTTGTTTCTGACATTCATAACACTCTCCGACCTTTACTATCCTCACCACCCACCTTCTGAAGGGTTCAAATTTCGTCGTCGAAAAAAAGCATTTTATACATACTGTAGATATGTTGCCCCTTCCTCAATTTTTAGTGAACCCTAATCCCTTGATTCATTTGCTAGGCTCAACTGTGAAGAGTTTGAGAATATCTGTTCTCCTCTTGTCAGTCTTAACTCTACATCTGTTATAGGTAAATAGAACAGTCAAATAAAGGGAAGAAGATATAAAAAATAGGGGGGGGGGAGGAATTTTTTTTATCGCATGGATTTTCTAATGGCTTTTTTCTCAGAAAAAAAAATCAGAATATTTGTAAAACAAATTTATGTTGGAGCTGAAAGTTCTTTTACCTATATAACCATCCAAGCATTGAGAATTTTTAAAAGTATTTTTATTTTAGAAATTTAATACTCTATTCAAGGAAATAAAAAATTGATTTTTCTAAATAAAGTAGAAAATATATCGTGTTCAGCTGTTTTACAGACTTTACCTAAAATATAAGTTACCGATTTATCTTGCCAACATTTTTTAGCATGAAGGAAAATTATTATATTAGAAATATCTATTCACACACAAAGATATAAATACATATAAATGTAGTTTAAATTTGTTTAAATACATTTTGAATATATATTTTTACAAAAGAAAAAAGAAAATATGCAAAGGAACTGAGTTTTTGCCACAAACTATGATTTTACAATCGCAATATCCTTTCAACCTGATTGTGTAAACCTTTGATATTTCAAACTATTATTATTTGATCTGAAATGATTCATAGTTTGAAATATCTAAGGTTTCCGACATTCAAATGCAAAGATATGAGGATAAGAAAATCAGAGTTTGTGACAAAAACTCATTTCCTTTGTGCGCAAATATTCGACGTTGATCATTACTCATTACATAAGGTGTTTATCATTTCAGTATTACGTAATCATAGAATCCTTCAACATATAAATTATTCATTCTTGTATTTAAATATAAATTTGGCTTGTCTGTTTGTTTGTTTGTATCCAATAAACGTCAAAACGGCTGAACCGATCGGGCCCAAATTTTTTGTGGGACATCTAGGGACCACAGGGAAGGTTTATGAATGATCAAAATTTCAAATATTCGTCTCCATCAAAATTCGATCTTCGTTAAATTTTTGAAAATTTTGAAAATCCACGAAATTTTTTGTGAAAATCCGCGAATTATTTTTGTTTTGTTTTACGATGTACACAAATAGAACATGTTCACAATTAATTTAGAAGATGGGCGCGAAGCGCCCTCTAAGGCTAGTGTATTTAAAAGTTCTTGTAAAACCGGAACTTTCCATGCATGGTCCAATGGGACATCACAATATTTCATTTGTTTTTTAACTGACATTTTACTAAGATCAGAAAAATTTATAGAACAATCATTTGCAATTGAAAATAAATTTCTGCCAAGAACTGTGTTAAGGTTATTTTTGCATAAATTAGAAAGAAATCTAATGCAAAGCTTAGAACTTGCTTCAATAGTCTCATAGAAAGACACACATCTACTAGCTAACATAGTTTTTTCATTTAAACATTGTAAAACACTTTCAATCAAGTACCTGGCTATGCGTGTATTTCTAGGTACATTAAAAAGAATTCTAATAGCAGTATTTCATGCTGTATACAATTTTGACTGGACTGTTAAAATAAAATTCTTGGGTAAGAGAATTAATTTTTGAAAGAAAACAGCTCGTTTTGATATTGTTTCGATAATATCAAGATACTTTTTAATATTGTTTCGATACGTGATACACAATCGGATTATCATTATTATTCTTTTAAGAAATATCGCTTTTGCAATTATGTTAAATATGTTTTATGATATATCTAAAGAAATATTCAGTGCCAATACAAAATGTTATAACAATAGAAAGAAAAAAGACACATTTCATTCCACAGTTTTCTGGTTACAAAAGGAAATATAGTAAAAAGATCAAATTTAATGAAAAACTTATCCTAAGTTGTTTTGATTTTGAAAGTTTCCGCATTCTTATTATTAAAAATTATTTTTTTACTACTGCTCTCAATAAAAGTGAGCAAATTTAATTTTTTGATCAGACAAAAATGTTTTATCTCCTCATTTCTTATTATTATTTGATCCTTTCAACTTTAATTCATTCCATTTAACTAATGGATTCAACTTTTGCATTAAATACTGATTTTAAATCTTTTTAAAATTTTAATGAGAAAACTTTTAACAAGTCTAGTTTTTGTGTTCACTGAAAGGAAAGATAAAGTTGATTTTGAAGTTGCGAAGTTGAAAGATAATTTTTCGGTGAAAATGGTTTTTTCTTTTCTAGGCATTTTTAGGTACCAATATTTGTTGAGCAATTGATTAAAATGGTTCGGAAATACTTAGTAATGCATTATCAATTTATGGTAGAATTACATTTTACATCTCAATTAATCTTTTCAAGACACAAAATTTTGTTAAAAAAGTAGTTCTTATCCAGATTATAAGAAAACAATTGGTTATTATATAATACATACATTTCTTAGATGATATAATCTCTATAGTTTCAAGTTTGCGTGGTTAAATCAGAAACGCTCAGTATATTATAACAAAATTGGACATTGGTCAAAATTCAGACTATGCCCTGTACAAATATACTTTTTTCAATAATGTATCTGGAAAGGTAGTCGGATGTTATTTTTGAGACACGCTGTTTAAACATGTTTTTTTTCAGGAACATCCCGCGGAGGTCACCTAGTTGAGATATTTGATTTCTGGAACACTAACTGTGATACTGAGTGCCAGCATTAAAAAGATTCTTTATTATTTTTGCTGGAAAACAAATGTCGAACATTTCCTTTGCGTGGCAAGATGTCAAAAAAACTGCTCATTCGCTATTTATTAGATTTATTTATTAATTACAGTGGTAAGCGATTATATCAATACAATGAAGACGACTTACAAGTAATCAAAGAGAAGCTTTTTTAATTAATAGATTATCTTGACTTCTATGTTTAAGTTTATCCACGCTGTTTAACAGCTTCTCTTGACTTCTTTATTTAAGTTTATCCACGCTGTTTAACATTTTCTCTTGACTTCTTTATTTAAGTTTATCCACGCTGATTAACAGCTTCTCTTGCCTTCTATGTTTAAGTTTATCCACGCTGTTTAACAGCTTCTCTTGACTTCTATATTTAAGTTCATCTACGCTGTTTAACAGCTTCTCTTGACTTCTATCTTTAAGTTTATCCACGCTGTTTAGCAGCTTCTCTGGACTTCTATATTTAAGCTTATTCACGCTGTTTAACAGCTTGATTTAAATCAAAATTGAAATCGGAAGTCGTCTTCCTTGTATTGATATTATCGCCTACCACTGAAAATGAATATTTCCACAACTATGAACTCCGTTATAAATTAAGACAACGTCTCTATAGTATCCTCCGGAAAATTGAATTTTTCTCAATTTTGAACTTATGTGTTACTTATACTCAACCAAGGGACTGTAAGCTTAAATTAAAGCGACTCTCCGTGCAACGATGGCAACGCCAGATTAACAACGTTATACTAAGAAGATTTGTCTGATCAACTATTGATTCGATGTGCATGGCTTTGTTTATTTAAACTGTGGCCAAATTTAATGAATTTGAGCCGCCAAAAACCGGTTTCAATTGAGCGCCGGCTTAAATCTTGAAACATTGAATACAATTTTAAGTGGAACCAACCATATTTGAGCCGCGGCTCAAATTCTTTAAATTCTGCCTCTGTTAATATTTCCCTTTGTACTCTGCAAAATTCAGAAAAACTACCTATATATCTTTCACATTGTTTATCAGATTAAGGTTCTAGGGGTATCGTTATAAATCAGACATTACTACTTACTATGCTGTATAATGAGGGTCCCCTAAAATTACGCTTACAGTCCCTACCGAATACTTTTTCCATTAAAAAACGACAATAACATGTGTTTTAAAGTTTAAGCGCTGTAATAAATTAGAATATTTTAAATTATCTTTATATTGAAGAGAGGGGTGGATGCACATTAAATCACGAATCGACTGTTGTAAAATTTAAATTTAAATTATCATGTCCTAATTAATATCTAATTTTACAAGATATTTATATAAATGTTGGGGACTGTCGTAAAAAAAATTATCATATATTTTCTGATTATATTTCGTATATTCACAATATGCTTTGTATGTAAGTATCCTTTTATAAGATCTAGGGTCTCCCATTCTAAAGATTGAACTTAAATTAACAACCTTGAATTTGCTGGAGAACTATTAGTGGATTTCTGCTGTAAAGATGAAAATGAAAATAAAAGCGAGAATGTTTTTATTTCTATAATTTATCATGAGAAGTTGGTTGGATGAGACTTCAACGACGTCTCTGTACGGATACTTTAGTCTTCGCTCTTGGATTTGTTGCCTGCAGGCAGCAGCATTAGATTTATTTATTTGATAAATCATTTAATATAAAATGAACTATGTTTTAAATAAAAAAGTTGTACGTCATTTTTACAGTCTCATTCTTTGTAGGTAACCCTGTAAACATTATACTAGAGAGAGATGGCTTAAAGGGAGTGTTTGCGGAAAGTGATGGGGTATAAGTTTAATTGGTATTTCGCTTATAACTTGTTTACACAGCTGGGCTGGATTTTCGAACATTTCTGGAAAATATGAAATTGTCGTCTTCATTACCAAAAATCCTTGAAACAGAAATGAATGTTTTCACAAGTAACTATCGGATCATAAAAAATAAAATATTATGAAATATCAACTATATACGAATGCGTCGAATTAAAATCGATTATAGGTTTTAATATCTGAACAGAGCTGAAAAATTTAGATTATGATATCCTTAATCCCGATCGGTTAATTAATCTGAGCTGGGAACTTTAGAATGGTGGATATCGGGATTAATGCTTGATCCACTCTTTTTCTTAATCTCCAGATTAAATATTGCTTGTTGTCCTCATGAATTTAATCTCCAGATTAATTAACAGATCGGGATTAAGGATATCACATTCTAAAGTTTTCAGCTCTGGATATTAAAAACAAGAGGAGAACAAGCATTATTTAATCTCGAGATTAAGAAAAAGAGAGGATCAAGCATTAATCCCGATATCCACCATTCACAAGTTCCCAGCTCTGGAGATTAATAGCAAGAGGAGAACAAGCATTATTTAATCTTAAGATTAAGAAAGAGATAGGAACAAGCATTAATTCCGATATCCACTATTCAAAAGTTCCAAGCTCTGAAAACTTTAGAATGGTGGATATCGATATTAATGCTTGATCATGTCTTTTTGCGAATCGCAAGCAAGACTAGTTTAGTCTTTTGATTAACTTCTAGAGACTAGAGATGCTCTCTTCAGGGGCGTATGAGGGGCCCCCCTGGAAAATACATAATTAAAAGTAAATTATGTTTAAAAAGTAACACCTGACAATGACAAAGACTAAGGATTTGTCTAAATTCACTGTTAATACAAGGAGAGAAAAGTTTTAGCCTTCTAAAACGAATTCTTGATTACACAAGATGCACTATGACGGAGAGCAGACTTAACGATTTTGCACTTAAAGCTTTACACCCTATAAGGCTGTCTGAGCTCTACTGAACAAATTATTGAAATGTTTGTGCAAGCAAATCCCAGAAAATTGTAGCTTAAAAGAGTTGGTGAATATGTAGATTGAGTAAATTATATCTAAAAATTTCAGAAGAAATTTCGTTTATTAGTAAAAATATAATTTTTTTAATGATGATTTTATTATTGATTTAGTTAGCTGTGATGGAGTTAAGTGATAAATTTATTAAGTTAAAAAGTTAGTTTTTCAAGCAAAGGAATAATTTTTAGACTCTATAAGGTTAGTAACCACCCAAAAAGGTTGTCTTTTTGGTGTATTTTTATGGTGAACAAAACAAGTCCAGGTGGGAGGGGGGGAGCACAAATAATTTAAAAAGGTATCAATATTTTTTCAAAAAAGGTGTTTTTAAGGGGGAGGGGGGCACAATGTTGCCAAGGGGGGGACCCCAAATTTTTTTTTGCGCGCTTACGCATTTGTGGTGTCATATCAATTGGACTAATGATCGATTAAACGAACAGGTTTGGGATTAATGTTTATTAAGACTAATGTTTTAAAGAACTAAAGTTCTTAAATGTGATAAATATATTTTTTAATAAGTTAATATTAACATGATTAAATTTATGTTTGTTTAAATACTAAAAAACTGGCTTGTGAACAGTACTTTAGTTCAATCAGATACAGGGTGTCCCAAAAAACATGGGAATTCAGTGACGAATTCGATATCGTCTTTGTTATGAATTAGCATTGTAATACCTAATTTCAAAAGAAATAATATTATTATGTCTGCTAGAGTTTATTTTATGAAAACGGTAAAAGACTGTAAAGATGTGTCTATAATGTCTCCGCAAGATGAATAGTGAAGACGGACAAGTTTACTCTGTTTGTATACTGCAATTTTCTTGTTTTACTAAGTACAACCGTATGCAGTCAAAACATAAACAAACAAATTGTAAACATCTAGCAGACGAAACTCTTACAGATTACAGCTTTCTCATTAGGTATCACTATACTAAATCAAAGAATTATTTAAACAGACGATATCGAATTCGTCACTGAATTCCCATGTTTTTTTTTTAATGTGATATCCAACAAGAGCGGATTAAAAAGAAAATTAAAAGTTTCAATAGTGAATATTCAGATTAAGCGATCAGGATTAAGGTATCAAAAGCTGAAGTTTTCAGCTCTGAACAATTTGTTTGGAATTAAATTGTTTTTTTTACGATCCGAGTCGAATATTGCAACTTTCTTTCTTCGATATGAGTCGTTTTTAACAATTTTCTCCTTTCAGACGCAACAGATAGAAGTAAGATTAGTAGCGATCACCATCGATATTTTTTTGCCGTAATTATATTTTTTCCCTATACTCTGTAGACATAGAGAATAGAATATATAGAGAGGAATTTACTAGAAAAAGTGTAAAACGGCCATTTTGTTGTACTGTTTCCATACTGCAGGTGTACTTCACATATTTATGCTATATAACCTGTTGGGCCCTGGAATATCATTTTATAGAAAATCTAAAATTATTGTTAAAAGAAAACCAAATTATGAAATAGGCTGGTTTCATAACTGACCAACATTTCACATAGACACTTTACAAACGATGATTTTCCGTTATAACTATAAACCAAATGATGTTTTTATTCACCTAATTCATTATATAGTTTATTTAACAGTATAATTTAAGGTTTTTATAATTCTATACCGTGTGCATTATAATGTCTCATAATTTAAGGTTTTTATAACTAAAAAAAAGATTATCCAAATTTTTTAAAAATATTCAAATAAAGTTAAAGAATTAATAAACATAGTTTTTACTTTTTTTTTAATTTACTTTTAAAAATATATACTATTGAAACTTAGTCTTTTTTGATATTTGTTTAAACTATATTATCTTTACTTAACTCTATCTATAAATCTATCTACAGGGTGTCCCAATAAACATGGGAATTAAATGACTACTTCTGTATCCACGTAAATCTGCCCCTTTGGTAAACGTAAATTCAACCTATATGAAGCATAAAGTCTAACCTTGTTGCATCGGCTAGACCTGTCCATAGAGCTAGTTACAGAACAAACTGGGACCGCAAAGGTTGACCCGGCTCGGATATTCAAACGTACTACGGCTGCCCATGTATCGTCTTTGATCCAAGTGGAAATATTTTGTAAACATAATTGTGTAGTATTACAGCTAAAACATTTAATACAGAAAACTAGTAGTCTCGGGATTTCCAAAATATGGTCTACCATTTTTTCACTTTCAAAATTGACGGAAAAATTAGAAAATTCGCCCAAATTTCAGCTAATTAGAAATCAACAAAACTGTTCAAATATCTCCGTCAACTTTAAAGATAGAAAGAAGACCATATTTTGGAAAGCTCATAAGACGCTGAATTTTTTTGATGCATCTTTATTTCATTTATCAATTGTCAGAAATCAAAGACGATATTCATGTCGTCTCTCACACCCTGTAGTATACACTTTTTGGTCAAACTCATAGGAAACGGGTTTAGGATATGTATTTGAACGATGTTTTAATAATAGTGCATCAATCTGTCCTTGTAGTTTCAAGTGATGTTCCATTTAAAAAGGAAATGCCCAATTCACACAGGTACTCTTGAAACTTTTTATCTAATTAGCAATTTTGTTCCTATAGCTTGAAAAGTCATCTCTCAAACAAAAAGATTGATGTATCATGCATTCTTGATCAGGCAAACCATTTACGTTTGTGAATTAGACATCTTCCATTTGCAATTACGTCACCAAAACGCCCCTAAAATTAAACTTATTTACGATATTAATTTTTAGTAATTATGTTATAGTACAAAACAAAAAAAAATTGTTTCTTTTATATTTTAATCTTATGTGAGGCCGAATTTAAAGAATTTGAACGGCAGCTTGAATTTGAGACGAGGCTCAAATATGGTTGGTTTCACTTAAAATTAAATACATTGTTTCAAGAGTTAAGCCGGCGCTCAATTGAAACCGGTTTTTGGCAGATTTGAGAGGCGGCTAAAATTCACTCTGGTCCTTGTTTAATAAAGTAATTGAAATAAAACAATTACATTAAGGAAAGTTTAAAGAACTTGAATCAACATATAGTCTTTCTTCATTTTAAACACTTTTCTTTTATTTTAGAAAATTTAAATATAACTGTCAACAATTCCAACATTTGAAAATAGATCGTAAAATTATAGCAACTTATATAATTACTTTATCTTTGCAGCCTGCTGACGTTGTTCTATGATATTTCAAAGACTTAAGGGATTAAAAAATTAGAATGTTCAGTTCCTTTGCACGAATCTTCTGGTTCTTACCAGATTCTAAATAATTAAGAAATATACATAATTGATCTATATTAATATTTTAACCCGACTAGGGGGGGGGGGGTAGTGTGTGTGTTATCATTTAATGATTTTTCAAAGCTCACAATACATTTGTAATGTAACCCTTTAGAGAACCTTAGAAAGTAGCTGTTAGCAGTATCAATTAAATTTATTAAACTATGTTACTTCTAACCGAAGAAGCTTCTCCCCTTGAACCTCACTGTATCAATATTTAAATTCAAAGTTTTCTATGGAACGAATAGAAAAGTAACATTTATCCCCAACAATGTACATGTTAGTCAAATAATTCTTCAATTCTAAATTCTACAATAAGTTTTCAACGGTTTCAGACTTCTACTGTCTCAAGAGTCTCAAGTCCATTTAGACATATTCGACTAATTATAAGTTAGGAAGACGACCTAGTTCAACTGTTTAAAAATTAAAAATAAATATAAAGTAACGGTCAATGACATAATTATTGTAAATGTACAAATTAGAAATCGTTGAAAATGTTTGCGACGTTAATGACGACCTATCACAATGAGGCGCTATTAGGATGTCTGAACTTTTGTAAGAAAAAATGGTGGATACAAAACTGAACAA